GCCCACTTCAGATACTGGAAGGCTGATATGAGGTCTCCATGCAGCCTTCTCTTCTCCAGGCTGAACAGCCCCAACTTTCTCAGCCTGTCTTCATATGGGAGGCGTTCCAGTCCCCTGATCATTCTCTTGGCCCTCCTCTGGACGTGTTCCAACAGATACATGTCCTTTTTATGTTGAGGACACCAGAACTGCACACAGTACTCCAAGGGAGGTCTCACAAGAGCAGAATAAAGGGGCAGGATCACCTCCTTCAACCTGCTGGTCACACTCCTTTTGATGCAGCCCAGGATACGGTTGGCTTTCTGGGCTGCAAGCGCACACTGAAGCCGGCTCATGTTCATTTTCTCATCGACCAACACCCCCAAGTCCTTCTCTGCAGGGCTGCTCTGAATCTCTTCTCTGCCCAACCTGTAGCTGTGCCTGGGATTGCTCCCACCCAGGTGTAGGACCTTGCACTTGGCATGGTTAAACTTCATGAGGTTGGCATCAGCCCACCTCACAAGCGTGTCAAGGTCCCTCTGGATGGCATTCCTTCCCTCCAGCGTATCAACCGAACCACACAGCTTGGTGTCATCGGCAAACTTGCTGAGGGCGCACTCAATCCCACTGTCCATGTCAGCGATGAATATGTTGAACAAGACCAGTCCCAACACCGATCCCTGAGGGACACCACTCGTTACTGGTCTCCAGCTGGATAGTGAGCCATTGACCACAACTCTTTGTGTGCGGCCCTCCAGCCAGTTCTTTATCCACCGAGTGGTCCATTCATCAAATTGATGTCTCTCCAATTTAGAGACAGGATGTTGTGTGGGACAGTGTCGAACGCTTTACACAAATCCAGGTAGATAACATCAACTGCTTTACCGCTGTCCATCAGTTCTGTAGCCCCATCATAAAAGGCCACCAAATAATTGCATCCCTCTCAGTATGATTCTCTCTCTGACTCATTAGTAGATAACTGCCTTCAAGGAGTTCCTATGCTACACAAGCTGCTTGTATGTCCCATCTAATTTCACAGAAAGCAGAAAAGAGAAATCTTTCGATAAAAAGAATCAATGCTACTTTAAAAGTGAACTTATACCTTGCATTCTTTAAATCTGAAAACTCCTGCTTATCATAAATAAGCCATGTGCACTTGTAATGATGTTACAAATGTTACTATTTTTGTCCACTGAGGTAACTGCTCTCTTAAGTGGCATCCGTAAGTCTTTTATGAAAGAAAATTCACCTGTTAAATGCTGCCTGGGTACTCCTGGATTAAACAAAGAATTATGGGTCTCCTTCCAAAAAGGTGGGACTGTTACACAGTTACAAGCATTTTTTCTTTATATATTTGCAGCTACAGACTGAAATTATTTTCACTATTCTTTCTTTCTGCAAGAATAAAGTTAGTCATAATATCATATTCAACATTTACTTGATGAAAACTTCAATCCTAATCATGCACTATTTCATGCTGTGCCTCAAGGATGAGCTCTGCAGGAGACTACATCTACATAGGCCTGTCACTACAAGTTAGCTTGACAATTTGCTTGGTAAAAAATGGAATAATCAAAAATCATCATTTGTATACAGACTGTCCTTGGGCATTTCAAGCCATAGATTGGATTATGGTATACACTGCTAATTCACATGAGTCATATCTTATTATTCAAGAGTCATATGTTAGCTTCACATCATTAGTACTATACTGTGTAAACAGTGCAAAAATTCTCAGTGACATGATTCCCACAAACTTTTCTAAAAGCAATTTCGTTTAGAATATATATGCAAAGAAATGGAACATAAACAATTACACTGAACAGTTTGATTGAATTTGCCCAGCATACTCTTGAAAATATTTCCTCTGTAAACATTTACTTTTACAAGAATAAGGTCAACTGAAAGTAGGTAAATGGTTGAGGTGGGACTTGAGAGTAACTAAAGCCCTTCAAGGAGTGAAGGGAACTTCAGTGTAGAAAGTTGTTTCTGAAAGTGGAGAATGCTGACAACGAACTTTGCAAACTGGATAGGGCCTTTGTAAGTTAGAACCGCAGGTTCCTATTTACTTTCATGACCACAGAAATAGAGTCTCTGAAGCCAAAACAAATTCTTCTTGCGTGGGCTTAAAAAATAATTCTCAGATTGGAAGACAAATCAGCAAGCTGGTGAGCTTCTATTAATGATAGTGACTGCACATTTATGCTTCAATTCTGGTGATACCAAATAAAATGCTAAGACAGAGGTAGTCCACAGAGTTAATCAGATCAGCACCACCCTAAGTGTCCTCTTTGCCTTAACTAAAGTGACTGCAGCAGCACTGCAAATCCCTGCCACGGCTGTGTTCTCACTTGCTTAATTACTCAGGATGTCCAAATGTTACTCTTATTCTCTCCCAGTGAACTTCAAGATAACCAGCCTGACCTTTGGCCACATGAAGGATGGGAAAGGGTAACTATGAGAGTGCACTGGCAGACTACTAGTACTTAATTTTAAAACAACAAAAAAAGGTTCTTAGCCTGAAAGACAAAAGAACATCGGCTGTACCAAGTAACCCTGACTAGTCTGCACTTGGGATGCCACATGTGTGAGGGAAAAGAGGAGTTGTGAGCACCCAAGTGATAATTTAAGGAATCTGCATCAAGAGACAAACACATAGACAAGTCTATAGTGAATATGGCAGCATGCAGGTGCCAGGTGAGTCTGCACTCTTCCCTTCAGGAGGACACACGATTTGTAATACACACGTTTATGCAAATAAGAAATGAAGAATAAATGTTTAGTAATTTGCACCAGCGGAACACCACATCCCAGGATTTCTGCTTGGAGAAAAACTAATCGGACATCTGGGTTTCAAGGTGTACAAAATCAAGCAATTTACACTATTCCTTGAAAGCATGTAAGCAACAGTCCATCACCTTAGAGTGCTTTTTCTCAAAGCTGCCACTCAGCTTTCTTTATTAATAAGCTAACTCATTTTGATGGACATGAACTTCACTTTGCCTGCCATGTTGCCTGTCAAGGAAATTCAGTTGTTACTTTCACTTTTTCTTGGGTATTGTTTTGACCTTCTAAGTAAGTGCTAACCCGTCACATACTGTAAACACCTTTCTCAGCCTGAAGCATTAAAGTTCCAAGTGAGTTAATGTTGGTGAATTCATTCAGTTGTCTATTCTACTTACACTTGAAAGCAAGAGCCAGCTTTCCATGGCTTCTACAACAGTCAAAGAAAAGCCTGTGTACACCATTTCATGAAAGTATAACAGGCCTTCAATCCTGGGAGACATAAACCTTCAACACAGGCTTTTAGTAACAAGCCAGAATGCTATTACATCATCTCTGCCAAGTTGATCAGACAAATTCCTATGTCAAAAAGCCTATACAGGGAAGAAGAAAACACCAATAGTTTCAAAAAAAGGAAACTATTTCTTGAAAGGGCACTGGAAAACTTGAGAAATAAAAAAAAGGGGAAAAAAAAAAAAAACAAACAAAAAACAACCAAACAAGCTGTTTGTAGTCTCCAGAAGACATCAGCCACTGACACAAAGCATTTTAAAAATGACCATACTTCCATATTCAGGGAAAGAATTCGATCAACCCACACACACATTCCATTGTTTTTAATTAGACAACCTTTCTGCTTTTGTGAGCTTTGTGCTTGTGAGAAACCTATAATTAGAAGGCACAGAAAACAAACAATTAAAAAGCAATACAAAGGATGCTTCATCTTTTTACCTTTTTAACCACACCCCCCTGCCCAAAGTCCCTGCTGGGATAATTTGGATTTATTACAAGCCGTGGGTAAAGCTTGTCATTGACAACTGACCTGATACAACTAGCATTAAGGCAGTTGCCAATGAAGTTTTTCTGAGTACAATCTTGATGAATTATTTGCAAACACACTAAAAAGCTAATACATTGTGCAGACATCAATACCTTCCTGTACATAGTAATAACAAACAGAAAACACAGCTTCTATTTCAGTACAGCTATAGTTGTCTTCTCCAGGAGGATAACAAGGTCTGTCAGACTATACCTGCTACTTATTTTTGCTTTATTTTCAAAGATCCTCTTCAACAGACTGAATATTTTCACATTAACTCTCTCTTACCTCCAACTCAGAACCTACTGTTGCCTAACTGTGCCAAATAGGGATGCCAGTCAGGCTCTTCACAGTAGTATGTTGCAGGACAGCAAGACACAGCAGCTCAAACTGACATGAGAGGCCGAGGCCAAAGAGAAGCCTCTGCCCCACAAAGACAGGCCAGCCGTGGAGGCAGAGCCCAGGCCAGGGAAGGCTTTTCAGAGCTTGGCAAGGAGGGGTCAAGTTCTGAGCAGACCCCATGGCTGAGCCCCTAGTGGTCCCTACCAGCATGAATTATCCTGTCATTGTCTGAAACACAGTAGAATGGGTTCCACTAACAAAATGTAAACCTAAGTGTTTTACTGTCTCCTCCCTCCAAATGGTCAAACTTCCTTTGGGCTTTTTCACATCAATTAATTTTACCAACATGTAAACAAGTCTTGGTAAATTTTCTGGTTCAGACTGTGTAACATGTTAAGTTTAAGTAGCTTTATTTAAACTTACAGTTTCTAACTTGATCTACATTCTAACTAATGCTTTTATTATGTTTAATAGAAAACTGTTCCTTTTTGAATCAGGGGTGTTTATTTTCTTATTACTTCCTCCCACCAGAGTAGCTCTGTTGTATTTATCTCTGAAAAGTCAAGCAAGCAATGTTTTATGTATAAGGTCTAAGTTCTGCTTTTGCAGAAGGAAATGCAAATAGCTTGGTTCTGAAGACATAGCTATCTAATCATGTATTTAAGGTAGGAACATGCTCATCTGCTCACCAATTTCACTTTAAAGATGACAAGCATTGAGCTCTTATACAAAGTTAATCACAGAAGCACTTCATTTTGTTTCACTGTCAGGACAATCTTTTTTATACTAATCATGCACCAGCAGTAAGCAGTAACATCTTTATTGTGATGGCTTTTGACATGGGTGCAGCACTCACCCCTCCTGCCTTTAGCAGCTTTCTTCTGAATTCCTCTGTCGGGTTGTTGAATGTGAGCTTTTCACAGCGGAGGTGATTTACAGGTGGATGGCCTTCAAGGTGCAGGAATAAGTCATAGTCAAATCGAACTTTCTTAGGTTCTTCCTGAGGGTTGAAAATAACCAGATAGAAACATCTAGCACCAAACCTAAGTTGCAAACAAAAGCTATGTAAAGACTGTCAATTAAAATGAAAATTATGTCATTTTTAACCATTCTCTGTGTTCTCAGGTACATGACGGAATTTACCAAGTGTCAGCTGAGCTACAGTAATTCAGAGAAACTCGTATCAGCCCATGGTAACATACAGTAAAACGCATGAACTTCAGTGAACTTCAAGTTGTCCTGACAAGGCTTAATTTAAAGCGTTATGTCATGTCTGGCTCAGGCTACAGACATACACATAGGCAGGTATCATGATTCAGCTGACACAAGGTAACTGTCACCAACACAATCACATTTCTGATCCCTAGATAGTACTGAAGACACTGTAGTAGGGTTTGCAAATTCGTCCGTCAAAGCCAAACACTATTGTTTTCTTCACGAGCTGTAGGAAAGAAGAATGTAACTGTTGCTGCACTATATTAGATCTCCTACAAGGGGGCTCATTAAATAATTAAACATCATTGCCTTGAATGAGTGTGGCCAGCTGGATTTCAAGTGTTCCACTATAGCTTCCAAGTGATTAAAATTCTCTGCCACTGCTGTGAAAAAAAATGAATGTTCCCTGTACCAATATGGAGAGAGAAAGAACAGGAAAGGCAAATTTATCTTGGAAAACATCATTAATGCTCTACTGCCCTGAGAATGCCTTAGCTGAAAAAGGCCATTAGTGGTATTGAACAGACTTCAGTTTATAATACCAGAGAAAAAGATATTAAGTACATTTCATGTTACACATTTACACAGTTCCTTCTAGAAGCTGAATACAAATTAAGAGTTCTTTTAAGACAATATTAAGTAGCCCTTTCTCCTGTGCAGCAGGAGCCACTAAACCAATGTTGGTCTTACGGCAGAACATAGTAAAAGGTCAAATTTAGAAAAAGCTTTAGTAAAGAGGGAACTATAAGGGAAGAGGAGGAAAAGATACGGCAAAATTTTAACACAAACACTGCATGTAATCAAAATGTGTGCTCTGTTCAGTGACAGATGTTTTAAAAATTCACATTAAAAAATGTTTAGCTTCGATTCAGGATTCCAAGGATGTGAAGAACCAAACGTGTAGAAATCGTGGTTATTCTAAAAGTAAAATCAGAGGTTTCAAACACAGCCAAGGGACATCCGTCTCATCCCATCTCTAGACTCAGAGCAGAGACAACAGAAGAGGACCCAAAATAAAAAGCCTGCAGTATTCTTCTGTTCCTGAAGACAGAAGAGAGTAGTTCGCTTAGATGAATATTTTTCCTGAAGGACCATTTTCAAAAGCAACCATGGATGAAGATATTTCTTACTGTTAGAAAGATTAACACAGGATTTCTTGCAGAAAAAATACAGAAGATTTATACCCCAGTGTGCTTAGAAAAAGTGTGATGTTGCTACAGGCAAAGGGTTGGTACCAGCAGCTTTGCCATAAAAGCAAAGTTGTAAGAGTTTACGAAAGTGAGTCTTCAAAGAATTCTGTGGAAAATGATTTCAAAGAAGACTTTCACTACACAAACAACTCCCAGTACCACTACCATTATTTCAAAATGTTGTGACAGTGAAGGCAGAATATACTACAGTTTATGAGCCTTACCCTAAATGGACTACATTTTCCAGAGTAGTAGCCTTTTGACTAAAAGCATTTTTCAAGGACTTTGTCTCAATGCCTAACAACTACAGTCTGTTGATGATGAATTTGGGAGGATGTATGTGTGTGTTTATAATTTCTCTTATTCTTTAAAGCTTGGATATTTTCTGTCAGGATGAAATGCCAATCAGATTTTCTACCAGTTTCTGCCTAGTCCTAGGAATAGCCACCCTGTAATTCTCCACGGTCCAGGTAGCTTCCTGTACCCTTGCTTCTCTATTCACTAGGGTACTTTCTGAATCAGAAATTGAAAAGTTGTCTACCTTGAGTAAGTGATGATGGTCTGTCTCCTCTTCCTCCTTCTGTCTATCTCCTCTGTACTGGAAAACCTGTGAAGTGGCTTAGGGGAGGAAGAGTAGCTGAGCCAGGAGAAAGCAGCAGTTTGCCTCAGGAATGCCAGCTCAGTTTTTGTGCCACTTTTCCTTTGTATTGTACCGACCCCAGTGAAGTGCATGCTGCTGCAGCTGTGTGAAGAGCTAGCTGACTCACAGTCCAACTGCTGCTTGTCGTATTCCATGACACCAAAATAGGGGTGAGGGATGTTTGCAAACTTTCTAATTCCACATGCTGCTTGAGGGTGAGGTGAGTTGTAATCACTGCTGCCCTCTTGATCTCAGTCTAAGCCACAACTCCTGCTGGTCGCCACAAGTCTGAGTGAAAAACAAAAGAAGAAATATCGGGCAGGAAGCCTTCTCTAGAGATGCTTCAGCGACTGACTCACTATCTTCTGACTTTGTCTGCCGAGTTCTGGGATGAACTCTTAACAGAGGACTTAAAAGAGAATGGGCTGCTTTTCATTAGATTTCCTGAATGAAGCAAAACTGCTTCCCTAATGGAGACAGACCTAAAAAGCACACCAAAAAAGCCAGTCAACTCACTGAAGCAGTTATGTTTTTCTTTTCCAACTGCAAACAGGGTAGACTAAGCCCTGCTCTTCACAGATTGATACAGGGAACATTTCAGGATTACCTGTCTGAAACCTACAACTCAGAAAGTGCCTGAGCAGAATTATTCACACCGTGCATGCACCTTGACAGAGTTTTCTGTGAAAGACAAAGAAGACTGGAGTATCTACTTGAAGGTACACACAGCTAACAGTTGTACTCCAATATGAATTTTAACTGATCACGGTCCCAGCAAACGTGTATTTCTATTTTACTTCAGTTTTAGTTTTTCACCAAGCATTCAACACATTAAAGATGCAACAATGACGATTAAAATAATTGGATTAAACTACATCTTGGCAATATAAAACAAACACACAGGTTCTCTTAGAAGCACATGTGAAGTTTAACAGCAGCTCCACCAAGGCACATGACAAACCTAAAAATACTGCAGTTAACATACTGTACCTTAAACCTTGCAAGCTTTCTGCTATTTAATTCCACCCAAATTAGAATCTTTTCATCTGAACAAGTTAATAGTAATACAGACCCTGTTATGTGCATTAAAGGCAATCTCTGTATTTGCTCTCAAAGAGACCCATAGTAAGTGCAGCATTTATTTAAGACTGACTCAATTTGAGATACGACAATAACGTAAGCTTTGTAGAATGACACTGTGGTTTTTTTTAACTGTGCCCCTGGTAATGTTGAGTAGAGTCAATATTCCCATGAAGTCTAAAATAATGGATTTTCAGACTGAAGACACAGGACTAAAAAAAAAAAAACAAACAACAAAACCAAAACTGTTTTGAAAGATAAAATCCTGAACAAACTAAAAAGACCAGCAATACTAAAATAGAACACTGAGTTCACTATGAAACTGACATAATCAAGACCAGTATCCTTTCTTAAGAGTTTAAGTGGTTCATGAACTTCCTTAAAGAAGGACTTCCTTAAGGAATTATTTAAAGTCTGTCCACTTCTGAGGTGGGCTACTAGTTCTGAATAATTACATTCAACATGTTTATTTTATCAGGTAATCCTAATTTCATAGTTACCCGCTAAATACAGTTACACATTTCTAGAAGTTACAGTGACTCTGAATTGAGGAACAGCACTGATGAAGATAACTAAACCTAATTTTTAACTGAGTTTATGAATTAAACTGTAAATCTTTAAAAAAAACCCTAACTTTGACATAATTTTTCTTTCAAATGCAAAGTATATGATTCTATACCTTGTTTTTGAAGTAAACCTCAATTGGCAAAATGAAACCAGCATACCCAGATTCTTCAACTTTGTAGGGTGGATCTTTGCACACTGAAACAGAGAGAAAAAACTGTATTTAACACACACACACAAAAATGTTTTAAATGCACAAACAAAACATATGAGTAAATAATCCGCAACAATAGTTCAGCACCATTACAAAACTGCACACACACACAGAGTAGGACATATGTGTGCACAACACAACATGAATTTTACAAGCAAACTGTTCCTGCCTACATACAACCTATAGTTTACTCATAGCAATTTCCCCCACCACTCCTTATTTTCCTAATCCTTTTAGACTGCTAAAGCAGAACCCCAGGGACTTCAACACCAGGTGGACCCACTCAGTACCCACAACAGCTACATACACACTGCAGCCAAGGCTTGTTTTAGGAATGGAAAGTACATAGGATTCCATCCTGTGAAAGCTGAACACGTGGAGGGCAGAATTGCCATTCATGTATTCATGACATAATACTAATATGACCCTTATTCTATGTAATGTAATTTTTAATAAATTAATTGAATTAGAACTAATGCAAATAAAACTGAAATCTCTACTACTAAGGGAAGGCTGATGATACAACATAACACTCCAGTATATAGCGCAGAACCTCAGGAAGATTATGTACTGTACGATGTTAAAACAGTAACCAAGTTTACTCTATAGGATTCAGCCTTCTTTAACACTACAGTAAGCATTACTGGCTGCAATATACAATCTTTTCCTTGAAGTTTTCAGTTTAATGCAAGGGCTTCTACTTAAATGAAATCCCTATAGTGCTGAACATAAGCTCTGTGAATGAAGTGGCATGAGCCCATCAACTTCAGCCAGTGACAAAAAGCAGGTTGTTATAGAAATTAGAACAGAAGCCACCCTTCCCTTCTCCCATTTGGCTGCATGACAACCTCATTACAGAATTCATGCCCATGTAACACATAAGCACAAAGGTAGCCTGAGCTTGAGAAAACATCCTTCCAATTGCTGCATTGATATGTGTGACAATTCATGTCATTTGGACTACCATCTCAATATCATACTAACAGGTTCTCTGTTGTAGACTGGTAAAATGATGCAATTTGTACATAAAGGCTTGACTTCTTCAGAAAATTCTGCTACAGCTACCTCAATTTTTGATGAATAAAAAAAACATTTCAGACTCACAGATGGATCATAATTTCTTAAGATACACACTCTATTTAGAATTGCCTGGTAGCTGCACTACATTGGGTGCAACTGAAACTATACTTTAGAAAAAGCATGTTTTGCAACCAGCTGTGCAAGGGTCTGAATACCAAACTTTTGCTTTTGTGCCAAACAGGCACTTACCACCCTCTATCATCCCAAAAACATCACAAGGCCCATCAGACACATCCAGGAATACAACTGCTGCCACATTCTTAATTGTATGATCAATACGATAAATGACTTGGGACCAGGTTAGGAAAGCTAAGGCGCAGTTAGAATTAAACTTGGCTAGGGATGTCAAAGATGACAGGAAGGGATTCTACAGGTACACTGCGAATAAAAGACAGACTAGGGACAGCATAGGCCACCTCCAGAGGCTACCAGGACAACTAGCTACACAGGATTTGGAGAAGGCTGAGGTTCTGAATGACTTCTTTGCCTCAGTCTACACTGGCAAAGGCTCTGACCGCACCACCCAAGTATTGGAAGGCAGACGCAGGGACTGTGAGAATGAAGACCCCAGGCCTACTGTAGGAAGGGAACTGGTTTGAGACCGTCTTAAGAACCTGAATGTGTACAAATCCATGGGTCCTGATGAAATCCATCCGCGGGCCCTGAAGGAGCTGGCAAATGAAGTTGCTAAGCCACTGGCCATCATATTTGAAAAATCATGGCAGTCAGGTGAAGTTCCCGATGACTGGGAAAAGGGAATTATAACCCCCATTTTCAAGAAAGGGAAAACGGATGACCCGGGGAACTACCGACCAGCCAGTCTCACCTCTGTGCCTGGCAAAATCTTCGATCAGATTCTCCTGGAAGGCATGCAAAGGCACATGAAAAACAACAAGGTGCTTGGAGACAGCCAGCATGGCTTCACTAGGGGGAAACCCTGCCTGACCTATTTATTGGCCCTCTATGATGGGGCTACGGAACCGATGGACAGGGGTAGAGCAGCTGCCATCATCAACCTGGACTTGTGCAAAGTGTTCGACACTGTCCCACACAACGTACTTTGGAGAGACACCAATTTGATAGGTGGACCACTCGGCGGATAAAGAACTGGCTGGATGGCCACACACAAAGAGTTGTGGTCAGTGGCTCAATGTCCAGCTGGAGACCAGTAATGAGTGGTGTCCCTCAGGGATTGGTGTTGGGATCGGTCTTGTTCAACATCTTCCTCACTGACATGGACAGTGGGATTGAGTGTGCCCTCAGCAAGCTTGCCGATGACACCAAGCTGTGTGGTTCGGTTGATACGCTGGAGGGAAGGAATGCCATCCAGAGGGACCTTGACACACTTGTGAGGTGGGCTGATGCCAACCTCATGAAGTTTAACCATGCCAAGTGCAAGGTCCTACACCTGGGTCGGAGCAATCCCAGGCACAGCTACAGGCTGGGCAGAGAAGAGATTCAGAGCAGCCCTGCAGAGAAGGACTTGGGGGTGTTGGTCGATGAGAAAATGAACATGAGCCGGCTTCAGTGTGCACTCGCAGCCCAGAAAGCCAACCGTATCCTGGGCTGCATCAAAAGGAGTGTGACCAGCAGGTTGAAGGAGGTGATCCTGCCCCTCTACTCTGCTCTTGTGAGACCTCACCTGGAGTATTGCGTGCAGTTCTGGTGTCCTCAACATAAGAAAGACATGGAACTGTTGGAACAAGTCCAGAGGAGGGCCACAAGGATGATCAGGGGACTGGAGCACCTCCTGTATAGGTTGAGAAGATAGGCTGAGAAAGTTGGGGCTCTTCAGCCTGGAGAAGGCTGCATGGAATCCTCATAAGCAACCCTCCAGTATCTGAAGGGGGCCTACAAAGATGCTGGGGAGCGACTCTTCATTAGGTACTGCAGTGACAGGACAAGGGGTAATGGGTTAAAACTTAACAGGGGAAGTTTAGATTGAATATAAGGAAGAATTTCTTTACTGTAAGGGTGGTGAGGCACTGGAATAGGTTGCCCATGGAAGTTGTGAATGCTCCATCTCTGGCGGTGTTCAAGGCCAGGTTGGACAGAACCTTGGGTGACATGATTTAGTGTGAAGTATCTGGCAGGGGAGTTGGAACTAGGTAATCTTAAGGTCCCTTCCAACCCCAACTGTTCTGTGATCCTATAACAGTAGAGGTGGTTTAAGACATACAAAACTTTGAACTTGAACAGTGACCATTTTGTGTTAAGCCTCCCAGAAGTAATGTTTCACTTTATCCTGACACATCTTCCCTTAATAGGGGACTCATCAGCTCTCTGAGAACATACAAACCTGGTTAATCCCCAAGTAAATGCACAGAGCAGAATTTCCTCCTGCTACCTTGCCATTCTCCTCCTCTGTTAGCACCAAATCCACACAGTGACTTCAAGAAGCATGGCAAGTCCTTGGTCACCTATTGCAGTTGAGTATTACTACACAGTTCACTTTATGCAATCAACAGAAAAGAATGACAAAGTGGAAAAAAGAATAATCACTTTTCCAAACTCTTCTGCAATGCCATCCTCTTACAGCTATAGAATTTAGTTTGGTTTTCTTGACAAGAAAAATGAGAGCATTTACAGTTTATAAAGTGGAATTTGAAAGATTCTGAAGAAAAACTTTATCATGATTGGTCAAATCTGAGAGGTGGTTTCAGACATAGAAAGCTCTGACCTTGGACAGTGACCATTCTGTGTTAAACCTCCCTGAAGTAGTATTTCACCTTATTCTGACTTGCCTTCCCTTAATAGGGCACTTGAACTTTAAGTATTATAGTTCTAGTAAGCACATAATACATACTGACAACTTTTTCAAAGACGGAGAAGCCCTCCTGCTCCTCCTCTGCCTCAGAAGAAAACCTGAGAAGACAGCCTTCCCAGTATTAATTGAATGGCCATGCAGGGCTCAGAAGACTGAAATCCACTTATATAAAACCAGGGAATGATTATATAGCAAGTATTTATCCATATGGAAACACTGAAATTTTAGAAACTGTAATAATACATTAACTGTTACAGAGATTTCAGGCTCCATTACTTGACAAATCACAAATCACTTTTTTCCTTTTTTCTTTTTTCTTTTTAATAAATATCAGGTCAACTTCTTCCTGAGCACTTAATTGGTGCAGAAAACATTGTCAGCATAAATATTTTTTGTTCTCCCCCTCAAACACCCCTTCTTTAAGATTTACACAGCTGTTAGCCGTACTGAATAGTACCTTGTCAAAGTTTCTCATTACAGTTCTGAAAACAAAGTCTTTTATACTTGCAGACTCTGTTGAAACTTGAGTGATGGGATACAGAACACTTAATCACAACAAAACTACTTTGGGTACCTTCCCAAGCTGAAAGATGGCTTTTACTAGAAGAAAAAGACTACAATCTTGTGAATGAAACTGTGTCCTGAAGTGACTCAGGCAAGCTCCCTGCTCTTGCATACTTGTAGACTGCAACAAAAGTGAAAGCCTCACCTTTCTGATGGAATCCTCTACTATACATACTGGCAGAAACATCACCTCTGTGCACTCTTAACCAACATTCACTAGCATAAGCTCTTTGTTCTGTTAACTGTCACAAGCAGTAACCAGAGCTGCAATGACATGTGTGGTTTAGCCAAGCCAACAGGCAATCATCCTAGCAAGGTTTGTCAACTGGAGAAGTTGCAAGAGTCAAGTAAACCACAGAACAGGTAGGAAGAAAAAAATAGATGCAGTAGGAAAAGGAAAGACAGACAAAAGCAAATTGCAAACACAAATCAACAGATCAAAACCAGCAACAGAAACCCAAAGCAGTAACAGCAACGTTCACACCGAAGTACAATGAAACACTGCTTTCTGTTGGACACTGACCGTTTCGTGTTAAACCTCCCAGAAGTAGTATTTCACCTTATTCTGACACG